AAGGGTGGTCAAGCTAAGACCTGGCACGAGGGTATGAAAACCCTAACCAGGAGACTGGGTTACATAGGTCCTGTTTGGCTCCCTGGCTGGGGACTTCGGGATGATCGTAACCCATGGTTAGAGACACTGAGCGATATGGCTGGGTGTCGCAATCAGTGGCGTTCGTGCATCTTCTCAATCTCTTTGCAACCTTAGACCACTGAACTTCTCTATTTTATGTTCGACTCCACTTCAAAGTTTCCTTTCTTCTCCTATTCTTCATCCAAATGGGCAGCCAAAAGACAGCACCCAAACCCGGCGCACGAAAGTGCATGGTTAATGGTTGTTCAAACTGAAAACTATTACGAGATCCATTATGACCTCGAATATGGCACAATTTCCGGTGAGTTTTATGGTGAGCTTTGCCCGCTGTACATCTTATCACTGCTAAGAACTATCAACGCTCGTACCGAGTTTGTACTCAGTCCGATTTCTCTCTCAGGGATACCTTGCGAGAAGCCCGTTTAATAGAGCGTCGTCGCTCAGCCCGAGTTAGGTGCTAAATAGTCGTTTTCGCTATGGTTCGTTCCTTCGTCCCTTGCTAGACGAAGATATTTGTAGACTCCATTGATCTAAGCATTAAAAAGGACAAGTACCTCCGGGCCACGGATGTAGTTACACCCACACTATACAGCAGTACCAGTTTTACATTCGCTCAGTGGGCTGCAGGGGAGCAACATTGCGGGGTGTAGAGCGTGGAACAGACGGTAATCTCACGATCCTTCACGTCTTCGGCTCTTTGTTTTTAGCATTAAAACGACCCCAACGGTGAAATTTTCGCTGAGGCCAATTCAAGTCGTTAACATAAATACAATATTGCACCGAGAACGTTCGGTTACTCAATCGTGCTTTCATAAATGAGAATAATTTGAGTCGTTATTTGAATTACTTAAATAATGTGATAGAAGTGTTTGTGATAACCAACAAAGAGCACAACACCTTTTTCGTCCTGTTTGGGCCTCATCAGCAGTGCGTACTTTTTGTCTCCCACTCAGGAATCGAACCGCGATTCTCCGGGCTGGGACTTCAAACCGTTACCCTTGAGCTACACGGTCGATGGTCATCACCTCGTGCGAATGGCTCAATCAATTTAGAGTATCAAGTTTGGATTAGCCCCTCTGAAGAAAACCGAATGGGCTAATCCAAGCATACTCTAAATATTTAAATATTTATTCCAGTAGAATCCTGTATAGCATACACAAGACGTGACAAAAAAGAACCTGTTTCCAAAAAACTTAGAAATAAAAAAATATTGCCATCCTCAAAAATTCCTGGTACTGAATGAGATATCACAGAAAAGAAGGAGCCAATAAGTAGCGCGAAGGTCAAATATGTAACGGCGGACATGATGATTTAAACAAATTCACTATTCTTATTTATGAAATACCCGTTACAACCAATAGTAATTATAAGAGCACTGATCTACTTCATAAACTAATGGTTATTATATTACACGAGCATATATCCTAAAATCAATTAGCTCGCTTATGATTGGTCGGTTAGCGTTCTCCTGACAATGCCTGCCCTCAGTGTGGATTGATTGCCGGTCCTGGCATAGCCCTGCAACTGCCGTTCTGCGTGCGTCGCTCTCCCTTAGTGTACCGTAGGCCGTGTAAAGGCGCAGGTTTGTGGACCTTCGTTTCGCTGTTCTGTCACGAGTACGTCCCTTGTCCCTTTATGATGCGTTTCTTTTAACAGCCTTTGAATTCACACTACTTATTTATCAAGAATGAATCGACCCAAGGACAAGAACAAGCCGAAAGGGCCTATGTCAGCCTATACATGTTTCGTGCAAGTAATCCGTGAGGAGCATAAAAAAAAGCATCCCGGAGAGCAAATTGTTTTCAGCGACTTTTCGAAAAAATGTGCTGAACGTTGGAAAGTTAGTTTCCGCCTGTTGTTTCCGATAACCCCACGAGAAACTACCGGTGCTTGTTCCGGTTCGTTTCTTGTTTTATCTGTCAAATAAATAAATCCCTTTTTCCCGTTTCTACTTTCTTAGTTGATGACACCGAAAGAAAAGAAACGATTCGAAGACCTGGCAGCTGTTGACAAGGAACGGTTTAACAGAGAAATGAGCGAATATGTCCCACCGGAGGGAATGAAAAAAGGGAAAAAAAGGAAGGCTCCACGGGACCCTACACTTCCGCGTCGCGCATGGTCGGCTTTTTTCTTTTTCTGTGACGAACATCGAGCTCACGTTAAAGAACTAAATCCCGAATATAAGGTTGCAGATGTGGCAAAGGAGTTAGGTCGTCAGTGGGAAACCTGTCAAGACAAAGCAAAGTACGAACTTTTGGCACAGCAAGACAAGCAGCGATACGAAGAGGTGAGTTCAGTGCTCCGTGATTTGATTTTTTTATCCACCTCGACTTGACTTGCTAACCTACGATTATCTCACCCCTTTGGATTATGAAGGATATGGCCAAATACCGTGCGGGCGTCTACGTGCCAGTCCAGAAAAAACCGGCGGGGTCAGTCTCTAACCCCACCATCCCGGATCCTGTCGAAACTCTTGCTTCCGATACAAACGCTGTAAGCGGTCCTGGAGGGGATGAAAACGGAGGTGAAATAGAAGAGGATGACGATGCAGAACAGGACGATGGTGAAGAAGAATGAACACAATGTGTCACATGTAAACTGTACAGGTTGCATTTAAATGGTTTTATTCGGAGCCGTATACACCTGTCTACTGTTATTTTTGTACTGTTCTTTACGTTTCCCACTTATTCACTCTGTTGCACGCTCTGGTTTTTCTATCCCAGCGCAAGATTGATTTCTCTATACCTCCGCTGCTATTGCGGAACATGCACTTAAGTCCCCACTAAATACATCAACTGGGCGGCGTTGTTCGTTTTCTTGGCTGTAATACAGACCTTTACAAGATCGTTTGTTTGTTCTAATTTGTATTTAAATTTTCTTCATGATATGTTCCACAGGTTTCTTCCTTTTTACTATACCATCAGGGGGGAGATTCTAGTGTGTTCCATCACCACCGCCGTTCGTCTGGTCCTAGTCCGTTCCCTTAATTTGTTGTAAAACATCGGTTCAGAGCTATGTGACTCTTGCCATAGGGGTCGCTCATAAAATTTATTTCTAGCGGTTCTATATTGATGGAATCTGATTGGAACAGATGTCTGTTAACATGGTCCGGTACCCTCCAGGGAATCGCAAGCTTCCTGTATGTTCTGATGGCATCGTGTCATATGCTGCTGTGGACTTTCAATCATTTATGTGTTCTGGTTAATATCTCAAATTGTGTTATACTGATACGTATATTTTTACGATGACGCCGCTTGCCTTATCCCAGGTGGCTCTTGATATTCTACCGATAAGTGACCACACATTTTCAAAGCGTGTAACATCCCAGTGACCAGACCTGACGAATGGGGCGTTATCCGTTAAAAGCTAGAGTTCATTTCACCAAGTTATTCAGCTTTTGGTCAGAAAGAGATGTGAGATGCCCAATTTTGTAATCATGGAACTGATATATTTCATATTCCTCTCCTTTGTTGCTTTGAAATCAGGATTTTTGACCCCTATCTGATTTTCCGGTGGTTCGCCGATTTCCAGATATTGGTTTTTCGATGTCTTAGTGAGGTGGGAACACCATCACGTGTCGTCAAGGTCTATTGAATTGAGTGGAAAGGATGACTAATCATAACCATAAACCGTCACAAGGTTTTCGGATGCTCTCTAAGACTAACAGACAAATAATATTATTATGATATGATATTTCAACAATCTTAATGCGGAAACCTTTTCAGCCTGCGTAATCTGATTATTATTGTTGGTATACTTCATACTTGTACGTGCCAAACAAATTATGGTTTGATAAAAATAAAAGGTCCATGATTTACTCGTGGATAGAACACTTCCAGGTTGCTCCAGCCAGAGGAGTTGATTTTTTCTCGGCGGATATTAGTACATCCATTGATCCCAGCGGGGGAGTGTGACGCGAACTGCATGTTCAGTCCAGTTTTTAGTTTAGCCTACTTACAACCACTACCTGGCAACCGAACATCGCACTCCCTGACAGCCTTTTTGCACCATGCCCTAGCCAGTTTAATCTACGGAGGTCGAGCACTTGTGGAAACGCGCACCCTTCATTGTCTAANTTGTCTAAAACTCCCTACTTAGTCCGGTTGCCTCCCCATGCTCGTGATGTGGCGTAGACGGCAGTGTTTGAACACCGACGGATCACCTTTTGCATGTTCCCGTGACTCCTAAGCCTCTGCACCATATAGGAAATAATGTAGTAGACCTAGTCGGGTTACCGCAGCGCACATTGGATCCTTCGTAGACAACCAAATGTCATGGAGCTGTCTCACGTCGGCAAACTTCAAACGAGCCTTCTGTATGCCTACTGACACTTCGCCCGTGATGCGTCAGCCGGGCGCGACATAACTGCCAAAGTTGTCCATTACCACTGTCGCTTCCCCATCTGGTGTGAGCTGGTAAGCTCCACCGTCCCAGTCCTGTAGCAACGTTTCACACTTTATATGTGCCAAGTATGGCTACTCTACCACTCAGTTCATCTACAAGAGCTTTCAACTTACCTGTATCTTTAATTAACAGTAAAATATCATCTGCACACTCCAGATCAGACAGTCTGCCACCCAGGAGCGAATCAATCCCACGAGGACCGGGTTGTTTCGAAAAGCAAATCCCTGGCAAGGTTAAATTAAATGACCTGTCACATCGACCTTTGTCACGACACTGTCATTGGGCTTATGCGGCTTTGGAACACGGGCCAGGTGACCACCCTGAAACCCACCACACCCTGATTGTGCCGGCGCTGTTTGTTCGCGGCTGCGGTATGCCACAACTTATTGACACAGCCTTCTTCGGTGAAGGAGTCCCTCTATCCACAACCCGGAGACGCGCCTGGTAGCATTCAGCCCTACTTAACCCGGGGGTATCCGTGTCGAGTATAGAGCGGTAGACTGAGTTGAAGGCCACCTTTAGAATGAAGAGTGAGAATTTGGGAGGAATGTCTGTGTTCTGAAATTGGTCAAAGAGTGAAAGTGTGATCGACTAGGTCTATAACCGGCCCAATTCTAACCCCAGCACCGTCCACTCTTGGTAGACAGTTGATGGAATTTAACGTCCGCGAGAATGGATTTCAGACTGTGTTGATCAAACTAATTCCTCTTTAGTTTGTACAACAGGAGCAGTAGCCCTTGTAAATCGGCTGGCTCACACTATTCACTAAGAACCAGTACCACTGTCCCAGGAGTTTCATCAACTCACGACTGAACCTTCATCCTTAAAAGCCCTTTACCCTTAGAGGTAACTTGTTTCGCGAGAAACCTCCATTTCAGACGGAGGACTGCCTAATTAAAGCGGGAATCGGAAGTCTAGTGTCCACGCGGGACAGTTGAACTGTACCTCAAAAACGTTCTCTTCATCGCTCAAGATGACGTTCCTGAATATGAATCAATGTGCCTTCAGACTCCTTAGTAACCTCACCTGTCTATTTTCCTTGAACACACTCCTTATCAAACCGAAACTACTTCAGCTTTTGCCGCAGTCGTCTCCATTTCTCTGCGTTTCGTATTTGACAACGATGAATGGTTGAACGAGCCTGCAGCAAGGCAGCTGGAGTTGAGAAGGTCCATCGTGCACGCTTCAGAATCCGGCGTTTTGATCGACATTTGGGAAACTTCCTTAATTTTGGTCCAGTCTTCCGACTGGTAATGATAGAGCACCTCGAAGGCCCACGTGCATCTATCACTTTCGATGTATTGTGGGGCTTCCGTTTCCAGTGGATTTGTTATGGTTGCATATCAGCTTAGTAACAGCGTCGTCCATATAAGTGGACGTTGACCAGTGAGATCTGAAATGAATTTCTGCTTGCGTGAATGATGATGAGGTTGATTTGAGTCCATCGCCAGGAAACGAGGTGGTTCCGTGTGTCGTTTCTTGGAAGAAAAGTTTGTGTCCATCCGGACCACCCAGCGGTTTGCGCAAAGTTAAGGTAGATCATCTCCGTTGTCCGTCCCGTTAACCGGTAAGTCTCCACCGCGCCTTTCTTATTCGTCCAGGAATCTCACTTGAGAATTGGATTCTCCGGTTACGGCTCCTATGTCCGTTGAGCAAACTCTGAAGTAGCCGATAAGGGCATTTATATAAATTGTTCTTCGTTTCGGGCGTGAAAAGGACGAATGATCGTCCACGCTTCGTTCTGTAGCTGTTTACCCGTACTCATCCATCAAGACGTACGACTTACAGTTGGCTACTGACTGAACTCCAGTCAAGAAACGATTGTTCAGCCTTGGCACTTAGCGCAATCCCGACACCGCGAGCGTCAGGTGTCGAATCGCTTTACACACAGAAAGTGAAGAATGCAAGGGGATAAGTGAACTGGGGTCTTATATGCGTGTTCCAGAAACATGTGTGAATTGAAATTTTCGAACGTTCTAGCTGAGACAATTTGATAGTGTGCGGTTAACTCAAAGGATGTTCTCATCAATTTTGTGGCTTCTGATTGGCTTACCTTAGTAATTAAACATCGCGGGATATCCTATGATTGACCGAGACAATACTCATCTCGAGTCATTTGGGAGCGAGAGGACGAGCTAGACATGTGAGGAAGAGATTTTTCCAAATGTTTGTTTACCGTTTTTGGCACAAAGTGATTCGGTTTGTTGTGAACCCTGTAACTAAAAGGTCTGACCTACGAGGCTGAGGGGGGG